AGTTTTGAATTTTACTGTTACTATCTTCCTTCCGTCGTGCAAACTGCACAGTCACAAGACCCCACCACCACCACGCCCACAAAGCCATGCCCACAGAACCAGTAGTAAAAAATTTGGAATTCCACCACTGGGTGGGGGCACTGAGGATCAGTTTGTAGCACCAAGGGGGCAGTGGACTGAAAAGGTTTGGGAACCACTGGTCTAACTTATTGAAGCTGTGACTCTGCTCAAGCTCAGCTAGTCCGGTTGTTCTAGCTGCAGTTGCTCTATTGAGCTGAAGCCCTCTGCTCCATGATCTGCATCTCCAACAACCCCTGGGCTTACTGTCCTGCTTCCCCAAGTTACCAGGGACCAGTTCATCCTCATCCTCTAAACTAGCATCCGAAGAGGAGACCTTCAGGCCACCCATTACAATACTAGAATGGAAGAGTCAGCAAGTGCTGTATAGTTCTTTTAACATCATGGCTCTTAAAATGGCTTCTGAGTTTTTGTGGCAACCAAAGAAAAATTACCTTGCTTTCTAGGTTTTAAATTTGTGCTGAAACAATAAGCTTTGCCTAAAATAAATTGTGCTGTTTTTTTATATATATTTTTACAATCAACTTAAATACTGCAGATTGAAGAGTTTCCCTGGAGGCAGTTTTATTTTTGTGGCCTGGACAGATTCCTGTTACCTGAAAAATTGTCCAGACACAAGGAGAATCCAAGATATTACATGTTTTGCAAGAGAGTTGCAAAACATGTTTTTCCAGTTGTTTGGAAAAAGGCCAACTGGGAGGTCAAAGTCAAATGCTGCTTGGCGTAGCAAGGACAAATAGACACTAAATTTTGCCTCTTCATTTCTTAGCCACTTATTGAACTTCTTTAGATTAAAGACAGGCTTCTCTCAGGTACGGAGCTGTATCTCCCTTGGTGGTTTTCAATATTTCATATTGATTTGAGGTGAAAAAAAATGGTTCTGGAACTTGGATTTAGTTTTCAGAACAAGAAGATGAAGATTTGGATATTAAAACTTTGGGGTGTGGAGGAGGATGTTTCTTTTATTAAAGGAGTGAAACTTTTCCAAGAATCTGCGTCTGTAGTATTTGATGCTGCTTTTTTCCTTTCTAACTTTAGACTTTTGCGGGAATATTGTTGTTTTTATTTATCTCTTCTGATTGGTGTAGCCAATGTAATTGGAGCAGCTCTCTGGCCCTCTTTACCTTCTGTTAAAAACATAAACTGTAATTACTTTCCTTGGCCATTAGAGGGTACTATTCAATATGATGAAAAAATGAAAACATTTTGAAGATGGATATTTTTTAATTAAAAATTTGTTACAATTCTTAGAAGCTAAATTTGAGAAACCTAAAATGCTATTAAGATAATAAATTGGATAAGATTAACATGGAACACCAAGACATTAAAGTTAACATCAAAATTAAACATTAGGAAAAACATTTTATAAATACATCTAGTGTTTTAAATGAATGAATGGAATGAGGAAAATGAAAATTAAAGGCTTATATTAGTGAAGTAATATAATGTGTAGAGATGAAACAACTATAAAAATTAGTAGCAAAAGAATGGATTTGGAAAAATGAATAGATGGGGGCATTGAAATTATGGTCATTTTAATATTTTGTTTATATTTATTTTTAAACTTATTTTTTAGAAATTATTTTACTATTGTTCATAAATGAAGAAGAAATATTTTTGATTTGATGGTTGTCTTATTGCATTCAAGATTGTAAGAATATTGTGTATGTTCTTAAACTTGCATATACTGTAGATTAGGAGTGTCAAACTCAATTTCATTGAGGGCTGCATCAGGGCTGTGGTTGACCTCAGGTGAGGGGGGGGGTGACTAGGTGGGCATGGCCAGTTTGATGCCACTCTCCAAACTGCTGGCATGTTTCTTCTTCACATTGGGTAGACCAGGATGGCCCCGTGGGCTGGATCTGATCACATCACAGTCTGGATCCGTCCCACGGGCCTTGAGTTTGACACCCCTGCTGTAGATTGTTTATCCTTCTCCCCCTTTTCACTTTTTTCACTATTTAATCTTTTCCCCTTTTGAATTACCTGATCCCTTTTTTGTTATTTTGTATTATTTTTTCTTGAAA